TAAATTATTATTTTTGTTTTCACTGTAAAATTTGAAGAAATGAAAATATTTGGAACAGCCTCCAATTGCCTTGACCTTGACAAATGTTGTCAAGGGCATGGCCCTGAACAACATTCAAAAGGTTTTAGTCGTCTGTCGAACATCTTGGGTACCAATGCTAATGGCAACAATATTGTAACTTTGAAGCTTTTTAACACAAAAGATGAAAAAATATTTTATTATAGTGTTTTGGGAAGCTCTCGAGGTATGCTATAAGAATATGTAATGAAAAATAGGGGGTTCCATTTAAAAAATTCAAAGTGACCTTGTCCTGAACTTGACGCCACTCGAGGTCAAATGATATCATCTTATGTCCTCCTTGAAATCCCAAAAGTTTTATCTGAAACATTTTTCTTTAAAATGCACTGTTCAAGAGATACTTGAAATGATCGATTAAAATGGGACACCCTGCATATATATATAGAATGTCTGACTCATACCATATCAGAGCTAATATATAGCTAGAATAGGTCAGGGTGAGTAATGGAATCGGTGTCTTTTTTTAAATAACTACGTAAAATTTCGAGTTATTAAATAAAATAGATGGGCTAATCAGAGCCAGCGACGTGGCAGGGACATACGGCTTGTCGCGGCCGGCGAAGAAAATGGGCGATTGCTCGCGGGCCTATCACGTAGTGTCAAATCTAAGACATAGTCCCCACCTATGGGCCTATGAGATAGACCCGCGAGCAATCGCCCATTTTCTTCGCCAGCCACGGAGAGCCGTATGTCCGGCCTGCGTCGCTGGCTCTGATTAGACCATCTATATTATTTAATAACTCAAAATTTTACGTGGTTGTTTAAAAAAAAGACACTAATTCCATTATATACTCCGATCTATTCTAATTATATATTAGCTCTGGTATGGCACGAGTCAGACACACTGTATATATATACAAGGTGTCGCACAATTGGTAGAACACCCGTTAGGGGTAGGTAGGAGATATAATTTGGAACTGAATGTTCCTTTTCCATTTTTGGATCCGACAATTAGTTAATGAGATATTAATTAATTAATTCTGTCAATCCCTTAGCGCTCCGACTGAGCGCTCAGGGACG